TAGATCGCCGCGGCGTTTGATCACCCGTCCCTGTCCCCACTGTAAAACGAAGAGTGACCTTTCTTTCCCGAATAGCGACGTATTTGCGTCATAACTCTGTTAGAGCGATTTTTACGAAATGACTCAACATGAGTCTTCTTCGTAACAGAAAATGTCGCAGAAACGACCCTAAACGAGCGACGTTTGCGAAAATGACTCAAAATTAGTCTTATTCGTAACCAAAAATGTCGCGAAAAGTTATTGCAAACGAGCGATGTAATTAATATCGCTCTCCCAAGAGTCGTCAAATTGGCTTCACTGATATCGCTCTCCTGGGAGCGAAAAAGGTCACTCCTTTACTTTTAGTGCCCGTTCTGTCCTCCTGCGAGTCTTGAGAGGACGCGTCGACGACACCAAGGTCATCAGGCTCATCCAAGTCCACGTCCCACTCGATCTCAGGGCTATCCCGCGTGCGTTTCTGGTGGACGGGTATGGAGCGAGAAGCGGATGAGAATTTCCAGTAACCGTTAGCATCACCTTGGTGCACTATACCAGAACCTGACGCGGAGTGTCCGCAGAAGGGTGTCTGGGTGGTCTTGTGGTGGCGGGGGCGGGGGAGTGCCGAGGGGCACTAGGACCCGGTCTGGCGGGGGCGGGAGGTGAAACAAGTGCCCGAAGTCTACTGGAGGCGGCGGGGGCGGGAGGCGAAGTTAGTCCCCGAAGTCTACTGGAGGCGGCGGGGGCGAGAGATAAATGAAGTTAAAGCCCCTAGGTCTAGTGGGGGCTGCAGGGGCGGGAGCTGTAGTAAGTCCCCCAGGTCTAGCGGGGCCGTGGGGTCAGGGGCGACGGAGTCACCAGGGCGGATGACGGAGAGGGTGGCGAGGCCACGGCCACGGCCTCGTCCAAGCTGGACAGGCGGGACTGCCACAGGCAGTGGCGGCAAGATAGTAGGCGACGCCCGCGCGCCAGCTGCTTGACGAGCATCAGTAGCCTTCGCGAAGTTACAGCACAATTACAAAATACAGCCGAGCTTTAATTTTGTGTTACAATAGACGGTTCCCGCTGTGCCAATTTCAAGAAGAATTAAGGAAATCGTCACCGGAAACAGTTCTGAAATTACGGCAAAAACTAGTGCAAATGAACCGTCATAGTTACATGGACTTCCTCGAGGTCATCTAAGTGAAACTGCACAGTTAAATAAGAAAAGTAGGCGGACTTTTCATACTGGTTCCGGTCCTCATTTCCTTACTTCTTCTCGAAACGTGCAGAGCGGGAACCGTCTATTGCGTGAAGCTTACTGGTCTTTTCGTTGACGGCTTGGCTGTCTGCAGCCAGTGCGCGAGGCTCGACCCTGCAGGGCCTGGCTTTCCCGCTCCCGCCATCCCTCCGTGCCGCGCCGCCGCGCCGCACGTCTGCCTGAGTACCTGGATACCGTTGTTGCCACCCTCCCGCCCCTTCCCCCACAAACAATCGACACTTGCCACACATTGCGAGGGTACTGTAAACTCCCAGAATCCGGCATTTCCGGGCGCCCGTCACGTCGTTCCTAACGACAGGGAAGGCGCGTAGCAGACGGCTTCTGATAGCTTAGTTCAGATTGTAGTAAGCTTTACTTCTTGCGATAAAAGCGCAACACTGTCACACTACACGGGCCTCTCTTTTCAAAAGTCCTGCGCACAGTCGTGCACATCGAAGAAACTGAACTACGGAGTCGTATGGTTCTCTCCTTCGGAGCTAGTGAGCTGGGAAAACCCTGTCAAAACCCAACATCCAGAACCGGGTTAGGTGAGTAGCAGGTTGTGCAAAGTCGGCTGGTGACTTATCAGATGCTGATAATTTCACACACAGTCTCAGCAGCTGCCAACCCACTACCATTCCCAAAGTGCCTCTAATAAAAAATAAATTCTTGAAATCTGTCTTGCAGCTTGAGTCTGGTATAGCCTCCCACAGGCGTCTCCTATCGTTGCTGGCGTTCTTGTTGGTTGGTCTCTGGGAAAGTCTAGCAGGGCTGGGTCAACCATTGACTCGGATAGAATTTGGTGCATGGTGACTCGAGCTGCAACACAATTACACTACTTCCGCAGTAAAACGTTCGAAGACTCTCAGATCATCCCTGATAAGTTTCCCTTACTGGTTTAAGTCAGTAACCAGATTCGTGCGGCCAACTAATAAAAATAATTCTCCCGGATAGTTAGCCACCACTAGGGTATATCTGAATAATTTAGAGAAACTGCTGTCACCGCTGGTTATATCTGGAACCTTGCAGAAAAAGTCTCCTATGATGGTCAATCGCTCCCCAGTGTTCCATGGTCTGCCGCACTAGTTCCGATCCTCTTCTGATCAATCAGATTGCCAGTGAACTCACTCGTGCACAGACCATGGTCTGGCTAGAACCTTTGATTTAAAATCGGTGTCCCGTCCAGTCTCTCATCCAGGCTTACTAATGCAAGTTCCAAGTTTTACCCTGAAGTGACTCAACTCAGGTGTGACCACTCAGTGATCTACCATGTCAGCTTTCCTCCTTTGTTCAAGATTTTGGGCGGGCGGAGGAGCGGCGGATGGAAGGGAGCCGCCTTGCCCGCCCGCTGCTCCTCCACGCCTGCCCCCACCACCGCTCTCTGCATCCGCTTTTGTTTTTCTTAGTTCCGGGCAGCGCTCCATTGAAATACCCTATTTAAATTATTGTGTTGAAGTACCAGGTACGCCTACTCCTAGAGCAACTCTCACAAATGGATCTTCTTCTGGATTGGTTTCAATGGGGTATTTCAATGGAGCGCTGC